AGATGAAGGCACTTTTGATGGCTACAGACTCCACTGGAGGACCCTGCAGTAATGACTCCTCTGGTTGTTGCACGCTCTGAGTTCAGGAGTGAGTACATAGGCATAGGAGTTGATGGTGATGTCGTAGATGGGCAGGCTGCAGCAGACCGAGGCTACTCTGTGGTGGTCCGTGAAGAGGTTGTAGACTGCAGCATCCCTTTTGCTGCTGGAGGGATGAGAAAGGTATAGTCCATATGATCCTAGAATTTGTTCCTTTCAAGCATCCCAAGGTAACTTGATTAGGAGTTATGAGTCAAATGTTAACTTGTGCCTACAGAGTTTTGTGACCGACAATGTGTATAATGAGCTTTACATGGTCCAACTGACATACCAGCAAGTGTTTGTGGACCAGCATGGTGTGAAGACTATGCACAATGTGGTCCGGCAAATGGCTACTCCACCAATTCCTTACCCTCTTTTTTCAGTTAACCGTGAGTTGGAACTGTTATTAAATTTGGGCACATCATGGCTTCTCTTTGGGATATAACTGAATTAGTCACTATGGTACTGACTGTTCCAGAAACTATCCCTGAGGAGAGAGTCTTCGTGGTCTATCTGGGTAATATTCCTTTTGATGTGGAACTGGTGTCTGTGGAGCTGAATGGGGAGGAGATCTCTGTACTGACTGCCACACAGATGGGATACTCCATCACCAGAGTCCCTGAAGGCAATAATACATTTGCATACATCATTAGGGTGCTGTTTGGTGACCAATTTGTTGTGAAGCAGGTGAGTCTGTTTTTATTAACTGCATTCTCTAGATCAGGAGGATTCAAATCGGGGCTGCAATGGGGTACTAGGGGTGTGCAGAAAATTGAGAAGGAAATCGAGAAGGACTCAGACTTGCACTCTCAGACTTGCACTCTCAGACACTTGCGCTTCCGCTAGCGATGTCACTTGCAGGCTTTATTTTTTATTTTGTTCTATTTTTTTTTTATTACTTTTTGTTTGAATCTCTCAACATTTTACAACAGTAGCATGCCACATTAAGCGTTTTGCTGTATGGGAGGACAAGTGAAAGTTTGCACATTGTGTTCATAGCCATCTGTTTGCCTTGTAGTACATTAAGTAACTATATATCGAATTTGATCTTTTAATTGAACTTAATGTATCTTAATACATTACGCCATGTTAAGTGTTTGTTTTTCTACAGGAGGAAAACGCTTAACGAGAGACTTTGTGCATTGCGTTCATATCCTGCTGTTCTGTGGCGACGGATTTGCGGGTCTTGTCTTTAAACTAAATTACAATGTCACTTGCAATCGCCACTTGCTCTCTCCGCTTCCTGCAATGTCACTTGACACAAATCGACACAAATGGTGCATGTTGCCAATGGAGACAAGAAGCTGTGGTGGAGATTAAACGATTAAAACTAATTTAGTACTATAACATACAGGGTCCTGCAAGAAAAAGACAAGACC